ATAATCTTTAGATTTAGTAGCTCAACGTAGTTCAGAACACAATGTGCCGAAAACGTCATCACAACTAGGAGCGTGGCACTGTAGGCTGCGCCTATGAAGTACTTTGTAAGTAACTACGTTTTTNTGAGCCGGAGGCCTACCACGTTAGGGCCTTGTGATGATGCAAGGCCTAGGTTTTACACCATTTGCTACAGGCTACAATTACCAAACAGAACAAAGTAATTCGCCACCAATACCACGAAGACGAGCTTCACGATCTGTCATAAGACCTTCAGGAGTAGACACAATAACAATGCCTGTACCACCTAAAATGCGTAAAATTTCTTTATGGTTAGAATAAATACGTAAACCAGGTTTACTGATTCTTTTTAAATTTGTAATACATGATTCTTTTTTCTTACCACGATAGATTTTTTTTGATCTATATTTAAGGCGAAGTGTTAAATCTTGTGAATCTAAAGAAACTTGATACGTTTGAATAAAACCTTCTTGTTCTAAAATTTGGGCAATTTGTTGGTTTAATCGTGTAAATGGAATTGAAACAGTTGATTTTTTTGCTAAACAAGAGTTACGAATACGTGTTAACATGTCACCAATACTATCATTGATTAAACCGTGTGATTTAACTTTTCTGTTTAAGGTAGTTGGTTTTGTAATTGTCATAGAAAAACAAAGCTATTTTTTTATTATTCTTAATTTTTTAAAATAGACCTGCAACCGAAACTTATTATTTATATTTTAATCAGGGCCGAGCCTTATTATGTCAACATACACTGAATGCTCAACTTGTGGAGCGTAGCACCTCTTAAACTTAAACTACAAGTATTTTTTAAAACAGCTTGTGTTAAACTACAAAATTGGTATTGCCAATCCCAAAGCGAAATGTTTTGGCTTCCCCCTTCGGCTTCTTCCCCTTTAGTTCTTCTTCTTCTTCCCCTTTAGTTTGTCCCCTTCGTTTTCACTAAAGGGGTTCCCCTTTAGGAAAACGAAGGGGATAAGAACTA